AGATTTTGGGAACAGGGTGCTTAGAGGGGGAAGGTATTTGATCCCATTGGGGAAAATATAGAATCCTGCAATCAGGTCAGTATCTTGTATAAGTGTATATTCAGCACATTTCAATAAGAAAAATGACTGCATTTTGGGCAATCAGCCACCGGCCCATATCTACATCTGTTTTCAGGGTCCCATGGTCCCATGATTGTGATTTACAAATTTTTTGGGGGGAAAACCAGCACTTACTTTCCAATTTCCAGCAAAAAACACCCCATAGCAAACAATGGGTTCCCTTAATGTCCACAGCGTTTGCTTCAGTGGTGGGTTGCCCCCAGTTCGCACTGGTTCTATAGAACCAGTAGTAAAACCGGCGAGAGGCTCCACCCACCAACTCCAATGTCATCAAAATGATTCTGTGCATGCGCAGAAGAGCGAGCGTGCGCGCAAGCGGCCCCGTTGCGAACTGGTAGTAAAGATAAGTAGAACCCACCCCTGGTTTGCGTGTCCATAGCATTCACTTAATGAGCACCGCAAAAAGATCATAAAATCAGTCTTGGTCATGTGTTGATCGGATTACTGACCATGACAACTTACAGTCATAATTGTCTGCTTAATTATGGTCATAAGTGGAGGACTGCCTGTAAGCTCTCTAGGAGATTCTTTCAGGAATCATGATTGACTAGGTGGCTCAGTGGTTAAGACACTGAGCTTGTTGATCAGAAAAGTCAGCAGTTCAGCGGTTCGAATCCCTAGTACAGGTCTCCTGCGTGAGCAGGGAGTTGGATTCGATGACCTCCAAGGTCCCTTCCAGCTCTTGTTATTTTTACTGTTACTGCTTCTGCGTCTATTGCAGTTTGCACGAGGGGTCTATCGTGGTGCCTAGGCCTGGACCTGACTTCCACACACACACACAAATATTTCTGAGAGCAACAATAACACTTTGAAGGGAAAGGAAAAATGGACAAAATACAGAGCAGGAGAAGCCAGCAGGAGGAGTGATTTAGCTATTGCTACAACATGTCACAGGCTGCCATCTCTCTGCCTTATGCCTGGCCTAGATGTACCTCGCTGCAGGTAGTCCTTGACTTACGACCCCAATTGAGCGCAGGATTTATGTTGCTAAGTGAGGCACTGGTTAAGTAAGCTTTGGCCCCATTTTACGACGTTTCTTGCCATGTTTGTTAAGTGAATCACTGCAGCTGTTGAATTAGTAGCACCATTGTGAAGCGAATCTGGGTTCCCCATCGACTTTGCTTGTCAGAAGGTCGCAAAAGGGGATGACAGAACCCCGGGACACTGCAACCGTCATAAATATGAACCAGTTGTCAAGCATCTGAATGTAAATCATGTGACCATGGGGATAGGGCAACGATCATAAGTGTGAAAAATGGTCATTGGTCACTTTTTCTTTCAGCGCTGTTGTAACTTCGAATGGTCACTAAAGGAGCCGTTGTAAGTCAAGGACTACCTGTACACACAAAGTACCCTTTTGCTAGCGGTCTTTAAAGCATAGGCTGGCCGGTAATCGGTCAGAGACGCTCCGTTGTTGCACTGACTGGACTAGATGACCTCTAAGACCCCTCCCTCCAACTCTATGACTCTATAGGAGGCAGTAGTAGCAGTCATTTGGGATTGTTGTTTGTGTATGTGTGAACTCGGATCCACTGTGGGTCATTTTTCTTGACCTGTGGGGTTCAAGGGATGCTTGCATCAGGCACGGAAGGCAGGCTGGCCTTCAGCACCTTGGAGAGCTCCAAATAGAACGAAACCTCCAATGCAACTATCGTATTTTTCGGAGTATAAGACGCACCAGAGTATAAGGCGCAGCTTAGTTTTGGGGGAGGAAAATAAGAAAAAAGCGGATTGGCAGGTGGCTCGGCCTCCTGGAATACCCCCAATCAGCTGTTCCCAGAGGTGAATTTTAGCAACAGGTTCCTTGGTTGTGAGCTCTGTGCCTTGCTTTTTTTTTCTGCCTCTGAAACTCCTGAAACTCCCGTTTCAAAAAAAAACCTTTTCCTGCCTCTGAAAGCCTCCAAAACAGAACTTCAGAAAAAAAGCCTCGGAAGCTCTGTTTGGGGGCTTCTTTTTCAGAAGTTTCGTTTCTGATGCTTTTTTCAGCCTCTGAAACCTCCGTTTGAGAAGCTGGGCGGGGCGGAGTATAAGACGCACCCAGATTTTCACCCTCTTTTTTGGGGGAAAAAGGTGTGTTTTATACCCTGAAAAATACGGTACTCATGAAGCCATCAGAGACACAAAATAGAAAAAAAAATCTGCCTACCAGGTATTCATCTGGCTAGCATCCTTCATCTGGTCAGCTTCAGCACACTAGTTTGCTGGTTTTTTATCCGCTGCTTGGGGATAAAAAACAGCTTCTAAGGCACAGCTGAGAGGAAGCAGCAATGAGAAAAGCAGGCAAAGGTGGGGGGGGGAGATCGCTTCACTTGGCTAGCGCCTAGTTAGGGCTGAAAAAAACCCTAACCTTTACCTTTTACCTTAAATTAAAAATAGGTCAACAGATGCTATTTTGTTCCAGTCATATATTCAGGCACCATATGAACCCAGGCTAAGTTAAAACACAAGTGGCAAGTTCTCGTTTCTTAACATAATTTTATTAAAATTCAAAAACATGAATAAAAAATTAGCAAGAAAAGAAAGTAGAAAAGAAAGAATGAGACAAAAAGCAAGATAAAAGTGTAAAGAAAAGAAGAATGGAAAAACTAAAGAAATAAAGGAAAAGAATGGCTTCTAATTTTCTTCGGTTTACGGCTATAGATAAAAAATACAACCAACTCTTACTCCGAAATTAATCATAGTCTACCTTACCCCTCTAATCCCATATAATTCTAATCATCAGATCCCAGAATTAAAATTTCATTTCTCTCAGGATCTCGCAAAAAGTCCAAAAATGGCTTCCATGTAGAAATAAAATAAAATCAACCTCTTTAATCAAAGCTGCCAATTTTGTCATCTCGGCCAAATGGCATGATCTCACAATGCTTTGTCCTACTCCTGGAGGGAAGTGGTGGCATCAGTGGTGAAATGCAAAATTTGTTACTACCGGTTCTGTGGGTGTGGCTTGGTGGGGTAATGTGACTGGGTGGGCATGGCCAACTTTTTTTTTTTTTTACTTTTAAAAGCATTTTTTCTACAACCTCTTCGGCTCAAAAAATGCTTTAAAAATGCTTTAAAAAGGCTCTAACGATCCCAGCTGAGCCGCATGATCATCAGAGGCTCTTTTTTTTTTACTTTTAAATCCTTTTTTTTAACAACCTCTTCAGCCGAAGAGGTTTTAGAAAAAATGCTTTTAAAAGTAAAAAAAAAAAAAAAGCCTCTGATGATAACACGGCTCAGCTGGGCATGGGAGGAGGCAGGAATTTTTGCTACCGGTTCTCCGAACCACCCACCACCTACCGGATTGGGCTATCCGGTCCGAACCAGGAGCATTTCACCCCTGGGTGGCATGGAGAGACACCAAACACAACAAGATCATATTACAGGTGTCTTTTCATTAAGAAGGGAAGGAGGCAGTATAGGAAAAGCAAGTAGCTTTGTGTCACTTGACTTTTTCTTCCCATCATTAACTACGCATGACTATTCTTCATGTCTTCATCACTGTCAAGGTAACAAAAAGCCCTTGTTTCGTATAATTTCTCCTGCTCTTATTTTGATCCCTGCTACTGTCTTGTGATGTCATTCTTAAGCTGAGAAAGAAGAATCTGACGGAGAGCCAGCTAGTTTTCTCCATGGTTGAGCATGAAAGCACGGAGCTCTGATCCATCCGTGACCTTGTACCTGGATAATTGCACTCACCTGAAACCATTTGCCCTGGAGGAAGGTGCTCCAAACCACAGTTCTCAAGGCTCAGAACAAAGAAGGACGCCAACCAGCAATTCTATCTTGAGCTTAGCCCGATTAAAAACTGGATGGGTTCCAAGCTTGTGAGATGCACAAGGAGCATTGCTACTTCCACCACTTAGCAACATGGCAACCCCTGCACTGGCTCTTTCAAGTTGATCAGTCGAGCTAGATACAAGTTTGGTTGAATAGGGGACTCTTCAAACAGTCTCGTTGTTGGAGGTGGAACTTATCTGGGACTCCTGATGGAAGATTCAAAGATGGAATCACAGAAGTTGGAAGAGACTCTAGAGCAGGGATGTCAAACTGGATTTCTTCGAGGGCCGAATCAGCATTGTAGTTCTCGTCCATGGGCCGACCTGGGGTGGGTGGGTTTGGAGACAGGATGGACGCCTCCTGCAGCATCCTGCCAGCCAAAATGGGGCACGGGGGGCCCTCACGCAGCCCCACTCACACACACCATTTTCGGCCTGGATGGCTTGCTGCAGCACCCTGTTGGTCAAAATGGGGCATGGGGGGTGGGGCTCACATGCCTCCTATGCCCCGTTTTCAGCCTGTATGGCCTCCTGCAGCACCCTTCCGACCCAAATGGGGCACAGGGGGGCCTCATGGGGGTCCCCCATGCCCCGTTTCCGGCTGGATGGCCTCCTGTAGTACCCTGCCAGCCAAAATGGGGCACGGGAGGGCCTCATGCGCCCCCCCCACACCCTGTTTGGCTTCCAGAGGCACCGATTCAAAGTTTGTCGAAGTTGTGCCACTAAAACCAGTGAGATCTGTTAGACTCAGAAGTCCTGTTGATTTCAACGGGGCAAATCTATTTCAAGGGCTATCCTAAACCCAGTCAAGTCTGCTTCCAACCCCTGACTTTAGAAAGCAAACAGCAAGCTATTAAGCTGCTCAGCCGTGCTGAAGCGCTTAGTGCAGCTTCTATAACAAGAGGTGATCCACATCCAAAGAGCTATGTCTTCCGTGCAAAAAATGACAAATAGGCAGCTTTAGGTAATTGCTTTGGTAGTTTCCTAGAGACCTTTGTGTGGCATGGATGTAGGTCAGAAAGGTGGAGGAGCAGGTGACGTTTGATAGGTGGATAAAGGAGGCGAGTCATCTCCTTGGAAAATCTCATGACTTTGTGACTTCATCCCTGCAGGCTTAAGTGTCAGTCGCTGTCAGTTATCAGTCATCAGAGTGAAGAGGCCTTCCTAGAGGTAAGCTGTTTTCCAGTAGGGCTCCTGGATTCTGGGGAAGCTCCCCTCTTTTTGTAGCCAACTCTTAATAGCAATAGCACTTAGACTTATATACCGGTTTACAGTGCTTTTACAGCCCTCTCTAAGTGGTTTACAGAGTCAGCCTCTTACCCTCCACAATCTGGGTCCTCATTTTACCCAACTCGGAAGGATGGAAGGCTGAGTCAACCTTGAGCCTGGTGAGATCTGAACTGCTGAACTGCAGCTGGCAGTCAGCTGAAGTCGCCTGCAGTACTGCACTCTAACCACTGTGCCATCTCGGCTCTTTTAAGAGGGGTAAGTGAGGGTTTGAGTTTGGCTTAGGTTTAGGGTGGGGGTGAGGGTGAGATGATTAGGGTGAGGGTGAAGGGTTGGGGACAGGCTGAGTGGGAGGGGGAGGTTGAGAGGGTCAGGACAGTGGGAGTGGGACAGGGAAGGGAATGGGCATGGGGAATGGGAGGAAGAGAAGAAAAGGTAAAAAGAGGAGGGAGAGGGGAGGGGCAAGGAAGATACTTGTTGGATATTATACAAAGACACACTTTTCTGCCATGATGGTTCAGATCGACATCTTTGCGGTGTGCAGACTATATCTGAAGGTCCTCTGGAAGGCTTACCAAGATAACTATTTGGAGCATGGGTCTCCCTGGATCAGCTAGGAAGAACATCAGTTCACTGTGCTCTTCCAGCACTTAATATACCTGCCACACTCACCAGAAGGAGAACCCTGTTCATTTTATATTCCTGGAGCTGTGAAAAATGGTCTCCTCGTCAGGGTGCCAAGTAACACTCTCCCCCCCCCAACGAAAGAAGACTCTGAGGCTAGAAGTTCCTCAAAGTTCCATTTTATTACAGATGTCCTATTGGCACATCTGGGAAAACCTGAAAGCTTCCAGATTTTCCCCACTCAAAGGAAAGTTCAAGTCCCAGCCCAACACCCACAAGTCCATCACATAGTCCAATCAAAGCACTGTCCCAACTGGAGATGCCTCCTAGTTACACCACTCCAGATGCAGGGCAGAATGTCCTTGACTCTCATAGAAAAGAATGTTATTATGGCTAGATATCTCTCCAACGCCATACAATCCCCCCTCCCAGTTTCCCACAGCACTAAATGTGGCAGCCCTGAAGATCCAAAGCAGGGCTCTCCAATCTTGGCAACGTTAAGACTTGTGGACATCAACTCTCAAAATTCCTCAGCCAGCAAAGCTGGGAGTTGAAGTCCACAAGTCTTAACGTTGCCAAGATTGGAGAGCCCTGATCCAAAGTAAAAGATAGCTTCCAGGACTGATACTCCTTCAATTATCTTCTCCTCAAAAGGGGAACACCATTTATTCAGCCCCGGGAAGTTAAGTCACTGAAGAGTAGAAAAGAAGTTGCTTTCTCAGGTGTTCAGGAGGGCCTCCATAGCATTCCTTCCTCCTATTGTTCTCCATCACAATAATCCCCTGAGGAAATGTTGGCTGAGAAAAAAGTTTGGTTCAAAATCACCCTGGGAGCTCCCATGGCTGGGGGGCAGGGAGGGTGACTGGAAACTGGGACTCTCTGCTCCTAATCCAGCCCCATCATCACTCTGCCACAATGACTGCCATTATTGTTTATTATTTAGTGTATAATGAGAACATGACAGAAGAGAAGAAAACACACACACACAATCCATGTCATTATATACAAAACTCCTACAGGGCTACGGCAGTGCCCTGTCACAATAGTTCCCAGTGTGCCTAGCATTCCTTAAGCTGCAGGATCCAATCTGGGTCATTTACCGGAACCAGAAGATTAGTCTTTTGAGCTTCCAGACTCGTGCTGGAGCCCATCCTTGGAGAACTTCTCTCTAACAGACACATACTCTGCTAGAGAGAGGTTCCCTGAGGATGGGCTCCAGCACAAGTTCGAGAGCTGCAAAGACTAAACCTCTAGTCCTGGCAGGGGTGGGCTTCAAAAATTTTAGCAAGGGGTTCTCTGCCTGGTTGCTGGGTGGGCGTGGCCATGGTGGGCATGGCCTAGTCGGCCTCCTGGCCCATGGGGGGGGCATTTTCACCCTCCCCGGGCTCCGGAGGCTTTCCTCGAGCCTCCAGGAGGGCGAAAATGGCCTCCCCAGGCTCCAGAGGCCCTTCCCGAACTTCCAGCAGGCCCGTTTTTCGTCCTCTCCGAGCCCCCGCACGCACCCTGCACTGACCTGCATTCAAAACGGGCCGTGTGGGGACTCTTGGGAAGGGGAGGGGCTGGATGGGCGGGGCCAGCCAGGAGTGGGATTTGGGGGTTCTCCGAATTGCACAGAATCTTAGCTAGAGGTTCTCCCGAACCCCTGAGGACCCCCAGCAGCCCACCCCTGAGTCCTGGTGACCGATCCAGATTGGATCCTGCAACATTATCCTGAGACACGTATATTCAAATTCCTTAAGCTACACATGATCCTTGGGTAGTGTTAAATAGGTGACAATTATCAGATGTAGTCATATTGCCCTCTTGGACTTCATGGCCATAAGAAACAGAAGTATATAAATGATTGCCATAGCTGCCATGGAGAACCTCCCATATTCCTGAAGGAGCTGCTCTGCTGGGTATAGAATAATAATAATAAAGACTAATAAGGACGGACTAGAAAGGTCGCTTCCTAACTCTTCTAGTTCCCCAGGTTATTTTCTATATCACTATCTCCATCTTTTCTTGGGCAAGCAGAACATCTCTCAAGAAATGACAAACTCATTTTTATTTTCTTGCAATGACTATGGCCGTGATGGTGAACCTATGGCACGTGTGCCACAGGTGGCACCCGGAGCCATATCAGTGGGCACACGAGCGTTTCCCTAGCTCAGCTACAGCGTGCATGCGCGCGTCCGCCAGCTGATTTTCGCGCCTTCCGGGCCCACTGGAAGTTGGGAAACGAGCTGTTACTGGCCTCCGGAGGGCCTCCGGCGGGGTGGGAAAGGCTGTTTTCGTCCTCCCCAGGCTCCAAGAAAGCCTCTGGAGCCTGGGGACGACGAAAAATGGGCCTACCAGGCTCACCGTGCCATCGCGTGCCAAAAGTGGGGGAAGCATGGGAGGTCGTGTGCACATACATGGGAAGGTGGGGTGCATTGAATTATGGGTGTGGGCATACACACGCACGATCCCCCCATGCTCCCCCACTCTTGGCACGCGACGGCAAAAAGGTTAGCCATCACTGGACTATGGGGTCCATGCAGGTTACAGAGATGCCCTTGAAATAAAGACGGATCTGGGAAATGAATGCTATACTTTGCCATATGCTGGATTTCCACTTTCCGACACTTTTAGTGATCCCTTCAGGAATCCTTTATTTATTTATTTATTTTATTTAGCTTATATGCCGCCTTATCTCCAACGGACTCAGGGCGGCTCACAACAATAAAATCCACAATAACCACAGTACAAAATTAAAATACCTAATTAAACCAGGTAAAAGTTAAAAACCCATATAAAACCCCATCAGTCCAGGCCGGGGGACTTGAATACCCAAGTTTTTAATTCACGGCGGAAGGTGCGAAGGTCAGGGGCCAATCGGAGCCCCAAGGGGAGTTGATTCCAGAGGGTGGGTGCGCCCACAGGGAAGGCTCTACCCCAGGGGGTCGCCAGCTGACATTGTCTAGCCGACGGCACCCTGAGCAGACCCTCCCTATGGGCGCGAACCGGGCGATGGGAAGCGGTTGCTGGCTGCAGGTGGTCCGCCAAATATCCTGGGCCTAAGCCATGTAGGGCTTTATAGGTCATCACCAGCACCTTGAATCTCACCCGGAGGGCAACCGGCAACCAATGCAAGTCGCGCAGGAGAGGTGTAACATGGGAGTATCGGGTTTCCCCCATCATAACGGCTGCACTTTACTTCAGCAAACAAACTTTCTATTCAGCTTCCTTGCTTAATATCCTCCAGATAGGTTTGGTTTCCATCGTCAGAATTCCCTAATCAAATTGGGGGAGCCTGGTGTGTGTCTTGTGAGAGGCGGTGAAGGAAATCACCAAGAGATCCTAATGAGGTTAGGAAAAACAACTTTCCCTCAGTGATTGAAAAGGCACCTGTGTTATCCGCCCAAGAGAAACCACACGGTTCCGGTTTCAGCGTTTCAAAGTGTTTTGCAATGTAGTTTGAAACTCAGAAAATGCATGTAGAACGTTGCGTGTCTGTATATAATTGTAGTGTGCAGAAGAGCAAATGCAGACACATATATTTCAACACCAGTGGTAGGTTTGCCCACCCGCCCGGACATCATCACGGATGCTCTGCGCTAGGGGTGGGTTCTACTTACCATTACTACCGGTTTGCAACGGGGCTGTGCGTGCGCGCTTGCTTTGCTTGTGCGTGTGCGGGCACTCTTCGGCATAAGCACAGAAGCTTCTGTGCATGCGCAGAAGCATTTTGATGACGTCAGGGTCAGTGGGCGGAGCCTCCCACCGGTTTTACTATCGGTTCTATAGAACCGGTGTGAACCGGGGGCAACCCACCACTGCTCTGCGCGTGTGCAGAAGGTTCTGTGCATGAGTAGATGTGCTGCGCACGAGTGAAGTGGCGCGCATATGCGCGCTCACAGTTCCAAACTGGTAGCGAAGGTAAATGAAACCCGCTACTGATCAGCCCACATGGGCACAAAGGATGTGCACATTTTTCTAAAAACTTTCAGTGCAAAAAAAAAATAAATCATGAAACTGAAAAACTTATTTGAGTGAATGAATGAATGAATGAACGAACAAAGAAACAAATGGGAATATATGCTATTTGGCCTCAGCAAATGGCTGCATCAGACCAGGCTATTCGGCAATCCGGGGAAATTACAAACAAAACCCAAAATAAAACCATAGCAATCCATTTCTGTACTGCTGCTTAACCCAGCTGTATGGATGTAGACATTCACAGTCCAAGGGAGAGGACCTTTTAACCTGCATGGTTGAGATCCGTGAAGAATCAAACCCAGCTTCATACAGAGTCAGATCAATGGGACAAACCACCTAGCTCCATGATGGCGAACCTATGGCATGCGTGCCACAGGTGGCACACGAAGCCATATCAGTGGGCACGTGAGCTCAGCTCCGGCGGGCATGCACGCGCCAGCCAGCTGATTTTCAGGCCTTCTGGACCCACCAGAACTAGGAAAATAGGCTTTTTCCAGCCCTCGGAGGGCCTCCGGGCGGGTGGGGAAGGACATTTTTGCCCTGCCCAGGCTCCTAGAGAGGCTCTGGAGCCTGGGGAGAGCAAAAAATGGGGCCTACCAGGCCCACCGTGCCATTGCGTGCCAGAAGCAGGGTGAGCATGAGAGGGGGCACATGTGCATGTGTGGGGGACAGGGTCCATATAAGTATGTGTATGGGCACTCGGGCGCAATCCCGCCCCCCGTGATACCCCGCTTTTGGCACGCGATGGCAAAAAGGTTAGCCATCGCTGACCTAGCTTAATCTCTCTACTTCGATAAATGGTATTTTTATAAATGTGTAACCCTCCATGTAAAGCATCTTCCTGATAAATATCAGCTAAGCAAGTGGCTTTACCTGAAGTCTTGGTACAGCAAGACCACGCGCAAATGTTTCGCAGAGACTCGAAGCTGAGTTTCACAGCATCTCTAAGGCTCTTTCTGGAAGCCTGTTAATGGTCATGAGACCAAGGCCACAGAGTCATCGTCCTAGAAGGGAGCAAGAGAGGCATCACATGGCAGACCTGAGTGAATTCCGAGTCTCTGTGAGACTTTTACAGGAGGTTAAAATAATGGGTTAGGCCCCATTGCACTGCAATCACAGGAGAAATTTCTTACGGACACCTTCCAATTTTTTCTTGAGGCCATGCAGAGTAAGATAATGAAAACATCCCTTATACTATTCCACGTGCACTCAGATTTATTCCAAAGGACCAAGGATGCTGCCCAGGGGTGAAATTCAGCAGGTTCTGACAGGTTCTGGAGAACCGGTAGCGGAAATTTTGAGTAGTTTGGAGATCTGCAAATACCACCTCTGGCTGGCCCCAGAGTGGGGAGGGAATGGGGATTTTGCAATATCCTTCCCCTGGAGGGGGGTGGGAATGGGAATTTTGCAGTATTCTTCCCCTGGAGTGGGGTGGGAATGGAGATTTTGCAGTATTCTTCCCTTGCCATGCCCACCAAGCCACACCACGCCCACCAAGCTGTTGTGGATTTAATAAGGCAAACACAACTTTTGGATTAATCAGAGACAATTTTATATATTGCGCAATAGGTTCAAGGCTCTGTACATGAAGCATTGAACAAAGACAGAAATTAGGTACAATGGTTTTATACCCTTCTAGACAAAGGATTCTGTTAACTCAGCAATTCATATGGTCATATACATTTGTCATTTTTAATTGACATTTCCTAATTACTGAGTTTCTTTGCAAAACAGTTATAATTCTTTTTGTAGATTACTGAAGCATAGACTCAAATCATCTTCTGACGATAGACAACTTTTAACTCATGTGGATCCCCTTGACCTAACCAACCTCTAAGCTGTATGTCATTAGAATGTTCCTTTCTTCTGACAACTTAGAGGCCTCCTAGAGGAACCAAAAGGATTTTGGCTGAGTTTGTACTTTTTCCAACCGGATGCATTGCTTTTTAGAATAGAGTGAATAGAAAGTTATCCAGTGGTCATCTATCAGAGCCCGCTTCATTTACATTAAAGCCACGTCCACAGAACCAGTAGTAAAAAAAATTGGATTTCACCACTGATGCTGTCTCTACTTTTTCCCAAGAAAGCAGCCCAAATATAAATATACCTCATTCAGAAAAATCCACTGAGCTCCAGGCCAGAAAGAAAGTCTCAACGAATAGTTTGGACTACAATAGCCATGCAGACTGGAGTTGATCAAATCTAAAGCCCAAAACATCTGACGAGCACCATGTTACCAGCTATAGCCTTTATAGAATAGAATAGAATTCTTTATTGGCCAAGTGTGATCGGACACACGAGGAATTTGTCTCCGGTGCAGAAGCTCTCAGTGTACATATAAACAGCAAGTAACAGTTCATAGTTCATAACCAAGGTGGCCATCATTAATCGTAAGTTACAAACAACAATTGATAAGTCATAAGAAACCAATAGGGCAGGAGTCTGCAACCTTAAATACTCAAAGAGCCATTTGGACCCATTTCCCACAGAAAAGAAAACACTGGGAGCCACAAAAGCTAGGTGGGCGTGGCCAACTCGATGTCACTCACTTCTACCAGTCACATGACCCCCTAGCCATGCCTACCCAGCCGGTCATTAGGGCAGAGAACCCGTTGTTAAAAAACACCAGGAACCACAAAATCCTTTTGACGTATCTCTCTCTCCCCTCCCTCCCACTCTCCCCCCTCTCTCCCTCTCCCTCTGCATCTCTCTATGTCTCTCTCTCTCTCTCTCTCTCCCTCTCTCTCTGTATCTCGCTGTGTCTGCCCTGGCCACTTCTCCATATCCTGCCGTCACCCTTACCTTCTCAGGCCAGGCGAGGAGTGATTGGGAGGGGAGGGTGAGGGGCGGAGCCAGCCAGTGGTGGGATCACCTGACAGGGAGCCACAGCAGAGAGTCCAAAGAGCCACATGTGGCTCCGGAGCCTCAGGTTGCTGACCCCTGCAATAGGGGAAGATGGTAGGAAAGATGAGATGATGAGAAAAGATGAGAAATGAGACGGTACTGTGGTAATTAAATGTTCAGTAGAGTGGTGGCACTAGGTGGAATAAAACTGTCAGGGCTCCAAGTAATACACCATAGCAAACAGAATTCCAAGGCAAGCAGTTCCCTCAAGGAACAAGTTTATTGGATATATCATATTGGCACAGGCTGCTGAAAACCGACTCTAAAGGTTCCTGCGGTTTTCACCTAATTAAAAGAAAACTTTTTTTCCCCTTTTCCCAGTCACATGGTCCAATCAAGGTGCTGTCCGATTGCTTGGAAACTTCACTCCTCCTCTCTTCAGCCACCTGTGGGAATGTCCTTGGTTCACAGGGGAAACTATTTTGTTTTGGCTACAAACCCCCAGCTATCTCCATTCTCCCCTCCCTATCCCTCAGCACCATTGTCAATCAATGGAAAGATAATTTAATCAAAGATGTAATGCAATAAGTTTTATGAAGGATTTGCTATTAGAATAGCAGTTACAGTAGAAAGAAGAAAAGTGAAACACGTAGAAAAAATGAGATATACAAAAATTATCCCCATAGAAAAAACGAGATATACAAAAATTATCACCATGTCAGTTGGGTAACTTTTAGCATGAATTACAGGTTTACAACATCTTCCCATGGAGTGAACCAAGCCTTTTAATTCTGCAGCTGTTATAATGTGAAACCAAGATTGAATGATTGTTTCTATTAACTGGGGTTTTTTAATGGGTCACTTCTGACTAACAAGTTACTTTAGTCGGCTCCATAGATTTTCAATTGGGTTAAGGTCTGGGCTATTCCCAGGCCATTCCAGCAGTGGACTATGATTCTCTTGAAATTCCAAAAAAAAGTGGTGTTATTAACCATCAAACCTCAAAAACACACTTTTCCCAAAAAGTTTCCACAATTTTGGCCACTATTGTGGATAAGTGACTTCTTTTTCACCAAATCTTATTGCCCAATGTATGAATTTGTTCAGGGGTGGGTTCTAAAATTTTTTACCACTGGTTCTGTGGGCATGGCTTATTTTGTGGGCGTGGCTTGATGGTCATGTGACAATTCTTTAGGATTTAGCAGAGGTACTGGTCTACCAGGCTTTTAACTGCTTGCAGAGCTGTACCAGTCTACTCATTTGTTTTTGGAGCGTTCCGGTCTACTCATTTGTTTTTGGAGGCACCGGTCTACCACCACACTGCCTTTTAACACTGATCAGCTGTAGGGCGGCCCTTTGAAGCCCCACGGCAAGAGTTTAAACAGTTTATTTCCTTCTATCTGATCAGCTGGGACTCGGGAGGCAGCAATAGATTGGGGGTGGGGCCAAATAAAAGGTAAGAATAATGCGGGGGGGGGCAGCTCCCGAACAAAGAGAACCGTTTCGGTGACGTCATATTGTCACTGCTACGGGCTCAGCCGAACCGGGCCGAACTGGGAGGAACCCACCACTGAATTTGTTGCTCTGGAAGACTCAAAAATATCTGACACTATCTGAAGGCCTTGAATCTCTTAAAAGAGATTCTCTTAACCGGGTGAACTTCCTGTTATTGTCTGGCAGCTGTGAAAACAACTTGTAACGGACACTGGTTGTGGTGTCAGCAAACTCACAGGAGTACAGCAAATCTACTTACTTGTTACTTGAAACACTCAGCAGTTCTGATTTGAAGAGCAGAAGCAGAGGAGACAACCAGAGGCACACCGGTCCTTAGTCTAATTTCCTGCTGTTCTCTGCAACCAAATTGACTCAGACATTTTCTGGCAGGCTGTGTGAAAATGAAAGAAAGGAGAGAGAAATGGAGACATCAAAGAAGTGTAAAATGGCTAGAATTTGAGCAAGCGGGGCAATAAAGGAGAATATAGCTCAGGGGTTGAATTGTGGGGTCCTTGGTGCTCTCCAAGCTTGGCTGTTTTCTTGCAGACGTTTCATGACCCAATTAGGTAACATCATCAGTTCTGGTGCTGCTACGGTCCTCCTTCTCCTCTTCTCCTTCTCCACCACTCCAAACTCCATTCCCTTCTAGCACTGATGATGTTACCTAGTTTGAATAATAAAATGTCTGCAAGAAAACAACCAAGCTCAGAGCGCACCAAGGATGCCTCAAATGTGACAGTAAATAAGAGGTTCTTGTAGTAGACAGAGCAAATGGCCTTGAAGGACAGAAGGAAGAAGCACTACCAAGGCAATGGACTGTTGTGGCCCCGCCCTCTGAGCCTGTCCCATCGGAGGAAGAAAGCTCCGAGCATGAGGAAGAGGAGTCAGCCAGGCCTCCCTCTCCAGGCCCCTCCCCTCTGGCATTGTCTCAAGTGCCAGTCGAGGGAGAGGAGACAGCTGATTCAAGTCAAAGTGATAATGAAACATCATTCCTGGACGCACGCCTCCGAAGGCGTGATAAACGTTTGCAGCAGCTTGGGAGGCGTGCTAGGGATTAGCACTGAGTCACTGGACCACACCCCAGAGACTATATAATAGAGGGTAGTGGTCAAAGGATCCTTGTGACGAACAAAGCAAAACCTTGGACAGTCACTAAAGCCTCGTCCGGAACTGCTGGGAGGAATATTATTTCTGTTTGGACTTTCTTGAACGTTCGTATCTTATCTGTCTGTTTGTGAAAATAAAGTCCCTTGGCAGACGGTGTGTCTATCGCTGCCAAGTGGGGAGATAAGAACTGGGTGCGTTCCAAAGTGTTTCCTTAACCCTCGACTGGCTGTGTGTGTGTGTGTGGGTACGGGGACAGATCATGGACAAATTAGAGGGGCCTGAGCCAGGGTCAAGGAAGTAACTTGAATGAATGTCTCAGACAAGCCCTTCCCTTGATCACAGATGATAAAAGGGAAGGCGTAAGAAGTACATTCAGATATGAAACTACAGGTAGTCCTCAACTTACAACAGTCCACTTAGTGACTGTTCAAAGTTACAGCACCACTGGGAAAAGTGACTTACAACCATTTTTCACACTTATGAAGCATCCCCATGATCACGTGATCAAAATTCGGACGCTTGGCACCTGGTTCATACTTACGACCGCTGCTGTGTCCCAAGATCGCATGATCCCCTTTTGCGACCTTTTGATGAGCAAAGTCGACGGTGAAGCCAGATTCACTTAACAACTGTGTTACTAACTTATCAGCTGCAGTGATTCACTTAACAACTATGGCAAGAAAAAGTCGTAAAATGGGGCAAAACTCACTTAACCAATGTCTCACTTAACAAAAGAAAATTTTGGGCTCAATTGGGTCCATAAATTGAGGACTACCTGTATATGTTACTATAGATATAGGTAATGAGATATGAGAAGTGTTTCCCACCTTTTCCAGAGACTAAAAAGAAAGGAGGGGAAAATACGCTCAGGCTTGCAAGATTGATGCAAGATAGTCCAGACAAGAAGTACAACCAACTGTACTATCTTTATTGTAAGGTTACATTAACAGACTCTTGCAAATCTGAAAGTATTTCTCCTTTCCTTTTACACTCTAGAAAACTAAGGAGGATCCCATCCAAAATGCATCCTTGTGCTGCCCCAACCCCCCTACTTCTGTGATATCTTTTGCATGAAGATTGCCTAGTTTTCCTCCTGTCTCTCAAGGTCCTTCCCACATACCATTATACACCATCACTTGTGATGAAGTGGGAAGCCTCTCCAGGTAAAGAAGCAAGGAAGACACATCATGGGAACCAGCATGGGAGAAGATTTCCAAAATGGTCTAGTCTAGAGCAGGGGTCTCCAACCTTGGCAATTTTAAGCCTGGAGGACTTCAACTCCCAGAATTCCCCAGCCAGCAAAGCTGGAATTCTGGGAGTTGAAGTCCTCCAGGTTTAAGGTTGACAAGGTTGGAGACCCCTGCTCTAGAGGTGTGTACCCCGAGACCCCAGGGCTAAATGGGGCCCTCACAAGTCTCGGCTGCAGCTTCCAGGTTCCTCCCAAGGATCTACCAAATGGTAATGATGAATAGGCCAGCAGAAGAATACAACATTCAAAGACACTGTATTAATTATAAGTTAAGGTTCCCCTCGCACATATGTGCTAGTCGTTCCCGACTCTAGGGGGCGGTGCTCATCTCCGTTTCAAAGCCGAAGAGCCAGCACTGTCCGAAGATGTCTCCGTGGTCATGTGGCCAGCATGACTAAACGCCAAAGGCACACGGAACGCTGTTACTTTCCCACCAAAGTGATCCCTATTTTTTCTGCTTGCATTTTTTAACGTGCTTTCGAACTGCTAGGTTGGCAGAAGCTGGGAGAAGTAACGGGGGGCTCACTCCGTTATGCGGCACTAGGGATTCGAAACGTTGAACTGCCAACCTTTTGATCGACAAGCTCAGCATCTTAGCCACTGAGCCACCACGTCCCTATTGTATTAATTAATTATACATAATTATATCCGCCATGATTACAATTATTTCACATTTATATTTGATTGAAATTAAGTGAAGTTACATTCCCTCCTCATCTTGTCACTTTTTGGACAATTTCAATAGTATGAGAAAACTACTAAAAAATTTGTTGGAACAACTGAAACAGCCTGTTCTTTCTTGCTTGCTATAAATTCTGTTGGGTGGACCAGCAACAATTCTGAAATTATCCAGAAATTATCCAGAAAGCTATAAATTCTGTTGGGTGGACCAGCAACAATTCTGAAATTATCCAGAAAGCTGTTTTACATTATTACCATTACAATCACTTCCTAGCAGTAGCATCCATCATTTTCATGAACACAGCAGTTTTCTCTAACCAACAGATTGCACTTGAACTAAAGCTCCCATGATTCCCAGCCAGAAAAAAAATTAGCCCACATTTGCCAGCAGTCATAGCAGGAGTGAAATCCAGCAGGTTCTGACAGGTTCTGGAGAACCGGTAGCGGAAATTTTGAGTATTTCGGAGAATTGGCAAATACCACCTCTGGGAGTGGGATGGGAATGGGGATTTTGCAGTATCCTTCCTCTGGAGTGGGGTGGGAATGGAGATTTTGCAGTATCCTTCCCCTGCCATGCCCACCAAGCCATGCCCACCAAGCCACATCATACCCACCAAGCCAGGCCCACAGAACCGATAGTAAAAAAATTGAATTTCACCACTGAGTCATAGCACTGACCGACCAACATCTGAAGGATACCAGATGCTTTTGTTATTGACATGAAGATCTAAACTAGAGTCACTTTGGATAGTGAGATGAGAAGCATATACATTTAACAAACAAAGAAATATCCCAATTTCCATATCAATTGTATCACAAATGTCCAAAGAGAACGCACAAGATACTCCTTGCTCTCTTAGTGATTCTGGAAACCATCTCAGTTTTGAAAAATTCCTTTTCTCCCCTCTTTCCGTTGCTCGTGGCATTTTCAAAGACGAACTCTCAGCAATGTTTAAGTCAAAACTTTCCAGAAAATGCCACAGAACATTAAAGTTTCTGTGGTTTTGGCCAGTACCCCACAGAGTAACTAGGCAACAGTCTTACAAGACCAAACCCAGCGTATTCCTGTGAAAGGGGAATGTGCTAACCAATTCCTTGACCTGGAACCTCTGTGGAATATTAAAGTTTTGGCAGGCACACCTGGTATTATGGACTGAAGAGAAGAACTCATATCCAGAAACAAGCACGTGCCTGGCTATCAGATCCTCAACTGAAGGAAAGGAGAAGGAGAAGGAGAAGGAGAAGGAGAAGGAGAAGGAGAAGGAGAAGGAGAAGAAGAAGAAGAAGAAGAAGAAGAAGAAGAAGAAGAAGAAGAAGAAGAAGAAGAAGAAGAAGAAGAGAAGAAGAAGAAAGAAGAAGAAGAAGAAAGAAGAAGAAGAAGAAGAAGAAGAAGAAGAAGAAGAAGAAGAAGAAACTGGTTCGTTATATTCTTCTTGGTAAACCTCCACCGTGGAAGATTTGATCCTACAGCATTTTCTACCAGGGCGTGCACAATCTCGAGGCCCATGAAGTTCCACTCTGATCAGTGGTGAAAACCAAATTTGTTTACTACCGGTTCTGTGGGCGTGGCTCGGTGGGCATGGCTTGGTGGGCATGGCAAGGGAAGGATATTGCAAAATCTCCATTCCCACCCCACTCTGAGGCCAGCCAGAGGTGGTATTTGCTGGTTCTCTGAACTACTCAAAATTTCCGCTACTGGTTCTTTGCCTGGTTGCTGGGTGGGTGTTGCCATGGTGGGCGTGGCCTAGTTGGCCTCCTGCACCCCAGCCGGGGGACGTTTTTGTCCTCCCCGGGCTCTGGAGGTTTTTCTTGAGCCTCCAGGAGGGTGAAAACGGCCTCCCCAGGCTCCGGAGGCCCTCTGGAGGCCTGAAACAGGCCCATTTACGGCCTTCCCAAACTTCCGGTAGGCCCATTTTTCACCCTCCCCAAGCCTCCGCACGCACCCTGCACTGACCTGCATCCAAAATGGGCTGCATAGGGACTCCTGGGAGGGGTGGGGCAGGGTGGGCGGGGCCAGGGCAGGGTGGGATTTGGAGGTCCTCCGAACTGCACAGAATCTTAGCTAGAGCTCTGCGAACCCGCAGCAGCTCACTCCGATGATCTGATATCCCATAAACTGCAAATGCTCTTGATTTGCCCCCAAAGTTTGAAATCCCACATCAATCGGTGGCTGTAAATTCTTAAAAATGTTAAATTGGTACTGACGGATTTGATACTTACAAGTAAATCATCCAAAAATGTATTTTGACTTCAGTAAAAGTGCCCATGAGTTTTTTTTTAAAGTAGACTTCTCATACTAGCGAAGTTAGCCAAAAAGTGACAGGATCAGGAGGGAATGTAACTTCATTTAATCC